TAAAAGCTTGAGCTGAACCCGCTTTAAGTATGATACCTGTTTTCGTGTTATCGTTAATGGCCTCACTAAGGGTTATCGATGGAAGTAAATTACCGACAATATTAATACCATTTCCAATACTGGTGATACTGCTGATTCGATTACCATTAGTATTTAAATTGTTGTAACTTTTAACATTATTCACAGTTTTAACATTGATACTATTTCTGGTTTCTCCATCGGCAAGGGAATATGAATGATGGGAAGATGATGATGATGATGAATTAAGATTAATTTGTAAATGATTTGAAACGTTTCCATGATGATTATTGGTGCCATTGTTGTTGATGTTATTGTTGTTGTTGTTGTTGTTGTTGTTGTTGTTGTTGGTTTGTTGTTGTCCAGGATGTTGAGCATTATAATTGTGATGATTGCTGTTGTTGTTGGTGTTGGTGTTGTTATTGTTATGACCATTTGTTTGACGATTGAAGCTTCGTAATGGCGGCGGCTCTGAAAAAGTGTATTTATCATGGAAATTGGATCCTTCGTCAAGTAATTGTCTAAATGTGGTTGGACCATTAAAATTGTTTGGTAACGATGAGTATGAGGCTTGATTTGTTTCGCATACTAGATAACCCCAATTATCAACAATCGATGAGGATAAAATAAATGAAGCCAATTGTTTATAACATTGTAAAAGAATTCGAAGTTGAATATTTTCGATAAACTTTGAATGATCTTTACACCAAGAACAGGAAGGTTTAAGTCTCATTTTACCTCCAACACAAGATTTACAGACATGATGTTGACAGGATGAGACTGTTGATGACATGGGAACATAAAGTAAATTACCACAGACACAACAGGTTAACGATTGTTGCAAGTAGGACATCAAACGATTAATATTGATAACCATTCAGTTTCTGTTTGATTATTTTAAATGTTCTTAAGAGTGTAAAAGATATTCTTGCTGGAGATTTTGGTATCTTTGACAATTATAACCTTTGTCACATAAGTACAATCGATTGGGAAGAAATTCTGTCTGAACCAAAAACAACAACCGTTTACAATTTTTGCCTCTCTCTCTCTTTCGCATCGTCTTTATCATCTCATCTCATCACCATCATTCTCATTCTCATTCTCTTTTTCTCTCTCTTGCTTTTGGTTTTTCTTTCGTCATGTTGAGCATTCCATGTTTGTATAATTTCGATACCATTAATAAAATCAAATTTATGTACTTGCATTTTAATCGTACTTTAGCACAACAATCAAAGGTAAATTGTAATCATCATGGGATTATTTTAATCATTTACTAATTTGATTAACAAATAATTAAGATATTAAAAATTCGTATCTTTGTTTTTCGTAATTATAGCTTTTCAATTATTATCCATAAGTTATTAAATGCTCATTCGATTATATTGTCTCTGTAACAGCTTTGTTAAGGTTCTGACTTTATCGATTAAGCAATCGTTCAAATTTTTGCTTTAATTTTGTCAATCAAGATCTAAACCAACTATCAATTCATTTTAATTGATAAACAAATCGATTGCAACTATTCAGATTCTATTTACTGTAAGTAATAATTTTGTAATTTATATTTTTATAAGACTTATATCTAATTTTTTCTGCTCTTTGATAAGGAAGTGTTGAAGCTAAGTTTTTCGGCTCCATAATGGCAACAATCACAATAGTAAGTTGAATTTTTGAATTAAGTTCATTGATATTCGTTTATTATCCAAGTAATGATGGAGATACAACGATAGGTTTCAGATTATGAAACTTATTCGATCGCCAACCTTTTATGCTACTTCAATTCTTCTGATTCTAATCAATTTGCTTAGTGGAAAAATATCAGAAATGTTCTGGACACAAGGTCATTGTATTTGAATGAAAAATTCTATTTGTTTTAGTCTTAATCATCTCATTTATCTTAAATTTGTCTTATTTGATAGACAAACATGATGCAATTATCGATGAAGATACAATTGTTGTACATTATTTCCTGTGTATGTTTTTGTAATTATCTTTGTTGCTACATTTGATTCCATTTTGAGTCTATCTCTTCCATTCTCATCTTCTTCATAATCATCATCATTATCATCTCCCTTATCATTTTCTGCCTATGATTCAAGTTCAACATCTTCCACCAAAAAAGGTTAAATATTTATTGGTACAATTGGACGAATGTCAGTTCCTTCAAATCGTTAACACCATTACCAAAATTTGAAATCAGTATACCAATTGTACTTATGTCGATGGTAACCAGGAATTATCTTGGTTGGAAGATGAAAATTTCGATCTTAGCTTTTAAACGAAATACGAGAGGTGACAGGATACGTTTTGATCAGTCAAGTTCATGTTAAAAAGGTCTCACTTCCCAATTTACAAATCATTCGAGGACGAACTGATTTCAAATTAAATATTCGAGATGAAGAGTTTGCTTCATTGGTTACTCTTTGTAAGATGGAAAATCTTATTATCATTCGATTGGGAAGAAATTCTGTCTGAACCAAAAACGACAACCGTTTACTTTTTTTCATTCTTTCTCTTTCTCATCATCTTTATCATCTCATCTCATCTCATCACCATCATTTGATAATTATTTAGATGGTAAAATAATAATATGATTAAGTTGCATTTACATGATACAATGGAAAGTGTTTAAGTAATTGTGTTTTCAGAAGCAAAATATAATCAATTATGAGTCTAATCAACAGTTTTACTCTTTGTAAGATGAAAATCTTTAATTATCTTCTCTAAGAGATATTATTGAAGGAGATGTTGGTTTATATGACAATTATAACCTTTGTCACAATAAGACATTCGATTGGAAAGAAATTCTATCTGAACTAACAATGACAACCTTCCAAACTCTTTTACGTCTTTCTCTTTTGCACACCTTCTTCATCATCTCATCCCTATCATTATCATTCTCTTCTTTTGTTTCTTCTCTACCTTTCTTTTTCTGTTTCTCAACCAAGACTATTGGGTTTTTGTTTTCTCTTTTTTGTGTCCACAACATTTCGAGTACGTTTTCAAACGTTTTTCATTAAGCGTAATTAAATTAGTCAAAAAACATAGAACATGAATTTACCTCATTCCCGCCTAAATACATAAAAATCAGTGATAACTTGATAACTATTGATCTGTCACTCATGTTATGTATCGGCAGATTCAGATAATTTAATTAATTAGAAAAAACATATAAATACATTCCAAAATTCTCCTTCCCATTATCATAAACTTTATCAATTAATTTGAAAAATTAATTTTTCTCTCAAATCGTTAGCATAATTAAGCCAATATATATTAACATTTTAAACAATAATCCGACGTTATTTAACCTTCTCAATCTACCCAATTACTTTTGATTCCACAAAAGTTGATAGTTTAACTTCAATCAACATAGAACATGAATTTACCTCATTCCGCCTAAATACATAAAAATCAGTGATAACTTGATAACTATTGATCTGTCACTCATGTTATGTATATCGGCAGATTCATAATTAATTAGTCAGAAAACATATAAATACATTCCAAAATTCTCCTTTCCATTATCATAAACTTTATCAATTAATTTGTTGAAAATTAATTTTTCTCTCAAATCGTTAGCATAATTAAGCCAATATATATTAACATTTTAAAACAATAATCCGACGTTATTTAACCTTCTCATTCCATCCAATCATCTCATTATGTCTAATTTTCTCCTTTTATTACAATAAAATTATATCATTGATTGATATCTTACAAGTCGGCTGGTAGACGGGGTAGACCAAGAAGACAAGCATCATCGAGAAGGACACCTTATTCAAGACAAGAGTCACGTAGGACTAGAAGAAATTACTATGAGCCGTTATCAAACGATGATCGAGTTCGTCGCATTATACCGACAATTGCTTGGTGCAAACATTTGTGTCGACTTGCATTCTAATCTTGGTTCAACTGTTAGACGATGCCGTTACTGTACTGCTAAACTATTTGTTTTTGAGTGTAATGGTAACGTTACACAGTGCTGCCAGAGTGGTAAGGTAGATGTGCAGAGGACTGAGTTTCCTTCTGACTTTCAAAATCTTTTAACCGGTGCAGAGTCTGAATCACGCCACTTCAGAACAAATATTCGGAAATATAACTCTGCATTTTCATTTGTAACTTTTGGTGCGTCTATCGAAAAGCCAGTTGGTCCCAGTACTTACTTATTCAAAATTTCTGGAGAAACATATCATCTCATCAGTGCCTTGCAATGTACTAACATGGGTGGACAATTATTTTTCTTGATACTGAACAAGCAAATAAAATTCGGATGGAGCATAGTGCTAATTTTTCCTTAAATCCTTTTATACTAGAAACAATACACAACTATTTAGCATCACACAATCGATACGCATTGAGATACCGCCATTTAAATGATGTAAGAACTAGAATAGCGAGGAGCCAGGGTAAAGATTTAGATGATTTTGGTTTTGAGTTTTTTGACCGTGATGATGGAGATAATAGAACAGAAAATGTTCCATCTTCGTTTGAAATTGCTGCTGTATTTGAGACAACTGATGGTGTACCTCCTAATAAAAGAAGCTTAAGAGTCTACCCAAAAATGTCCAATGGTTGTAATCATATTTCATATCTAAGTCCTCATCTGGATCCTTTAGCTTATCCTTTATTATGGCCAAATGGTGAACCTGGATGGAATACAGAGATGATGCACAATTCCGACAGAGCTACACTGATAAGGAATAGAGTAACAATCAGAGAGTTCAACTGTTCGAGACTTTTTGAAAGAGATGATTGGTTCAATGCTGTTTTGCATTCAGGAAAACTCACCCAACAAATAATTGTTGATTATTATTGTCGCCATGAAGGTTCAAGATTGATTGATAAGAAGAAACCAGGATAAGTTGAGAATAGAAACTTACGCTGGTTTATGTGACGTAATAAATTCGAGAGCAGAAACTGAAGGCATACGAGCAGGAGTGTTGAAAATTTTGCCATCATCTTTTTCTGGAAGTCCTAGAAATATGTTAAATAGATATCAAGATGCAATGGCTATTGTAAGGCAATTTGGTAAACCAGATTATTTCATTACAATGACATGTAACCCAAAATGGCCTGAAATATTACAGTCTATTAAACCAAATGAACGAGCTGAAGATAGACCTGACATTGTTGTTCGCATTTTTGCCGGTAAAGTTTCAGAACTTAAGAGACTAATAATGAAAAAACAAATATTTGGCCCTGTTATATCATTGATTCATGTTATTGAGTTTCAAAAGCGTGGGTTACCTCATGTACATCTTTTACTTAAAGTAGCTGAAAGTCACATTCCTAGAGAACCAGAAAAAATTGATAAAGTTGTATGTGCTGAAATTCCATGTCCACAACAACATCCCCTTTTATATTCTTTAGTTAAAGCCCACATGATCCATGGTCCGTGTGGTAAATTCAATGTGAATAGCCAATGTATGAAAGACAACAAATGTATAAAAAACTTTCCAAAACCATTCCAAGAATCAACTGATACCGATGGTACAGGTTTTCCTCTTTACCGCCGAAGAAACAATGGACGATCAATATTATTGAGAAACGGAACTATTGAAGTAAACAACGCATTTGTTGTCCCTTATAATGTTTTTCTTTTACAATATTTTCGTTGTCATATTAATGTTGAAATTTGTTGCACAGTCCAAGCAACAAAATATTTGCACAAATATTTATACAAAGGTTATGATCAGTCTAACTTCCAATTAACAGAAAATGGTGATCGTATTGATTATGATGAGATAGCAAATTTTTTGAAGTCACGTTTTGTTGGATCAACTGAAGCTGCTTACAGACTATTTGCTCTCCCATTGCACTATAATTCTCATGCTGTTGAGGATTTACCTGTTCATTTACCCCATGAAAACTTTGTAACATTCTCAGAAGACAATGCACTTGATGTGGCTGCATCTGAGGCAGTCCGAAAAACTAAGTTAACTGCCTGGTTTGAACTCAATCGCGAGGAAGAAATTGAGGTACTCTATCATGAGATGCCTATTCATTATTGTTTTAACAAGATGAGTAAAAATGGATTTTACGGAAATATAGTTGTAAAACTATTGGTCGATTACAGTTCGTGTCTCCAAGGCAACAAGAACGATACGCATTACGCTTACTTTTATTAAGAGTCCCATCTGCTAAATCTTTTGAAGATCTCCGAACACATGAAGAAACTGTTTGGCCAACATTCATGGAAGCTGCTCGAGCCCGAGGCTTAGTTGATGACGATTCAGAGTGGTGTCGTTGCTTAGACGAAATGTCGAATTTCGCTTTTGCTTCACAACTCAGAGAAACTTTCGCTTATATTTTATTATTTTCGTGTCCAAGTAATGCTAAAGATTTGTTCGAAAAATTTTCTATCGCTCTATCAGAAGACTTTTGTCGGGATTTCTCTGTCGAAGTAGCCAGGAATAAAGCTCTTATTGCCATACAACAAATTTTAGACGTTCATCAAAAGAAGTTAGTTGATTATGGATTACCTACAGTTGATTGTGAAAGAGTGATTTATCCTCAATTCACTGATCCTGAAAGAATGGCTGCTTCATCTAATTCCGACAGAATTGCTTCCATTGCAAATTCAGAACAGAAACTCATAATTGATCACGTAAAATCAATTGTTTTCGACGTACATGTTGCTGATAGAATAATCTTCATCGATGGTGCTGGGGGTACAGGTAAAACTTTCATTTATAACTGTTTAATTGATTGGATGGTAGGATTAAATGAAACTGTAATTCCTGTAGCATGGACTGGAATGGCTGCTACTTTACTCAAAGGAGGGAGAACATCACATTCAAGATTCGGGTTACCACTGACATTTCTTGAAACTTCAGTTTCCAAAATCTCTGTTCAATCCAAAGAAGCTGAACTACTGCGAAAAGCTAAGTTATTCATATGGGATGAAGCTTCAATGATACCAGTGAGAGCTCTGAGTGTTGTCGATAGTTTACTCAGAGATATAATGCAAATTCAATTACCATTTGGTGGGAAAACCTTTGTATTTGGTGGTGATTTCAGGCAAATTTTGCCAGTAGTTCCAAATGGTGGTAAAATCGAAACAGTCAACAACTGTATCAAAAAATCGCCACTTTGGCAGCATTTTAAAGTCATGAAATTGACCGTTAACATGAGAGCTTCAAGAAGCTCACAAGCATTTCGAGACTTACTTCTAAGTATTGGTGATGGAGAATACCCAAATATAAATGGTGTAGTTTTATTGCCAAACGACTTGATTATGCCTGAAAATGCAGATATCGTCAAAGAAATTTTTGGAACGAATGTTAATGAAATTATAAAAGACCCTGACTCTTTTTCATCACGATCAATTCTTTGTCCAAAAAATATACACTGTGATGAAATCAATCATCGAATTCTCAATATGCTTGATGGTCAATCCAAAGTCTATTTTAGCCTAAACACAATCCAAGACGACAATAACAATTTAGAGTTTCATTATCCAACGGAATTTTTAGATAATCTACAGATTTCTGGTTTACCTCCGCATAAACTTGAGCTTAAAAACGGTGCAATTGTAATGCTTTTGAGAAATCTTAATCTGGATAACGGCTTGACAAATGGGACTAGATTGAGTGTTGTAGAAATGTATGAAAGAAGTTTAAAATGTCGTATTCTAACAGGTACTAATTCGGGCAATATTGTATTTTTACCAAAAATCGATTTAATACCGTCAGATACACGATTACCATTTTCATTCAAAAGAAAGCAGTTTCCAGTTAAGTTAGCATTTGCTGTCACTATCAATAAAGCACAAGGCCAGTCTCTATCCAAAGTTGGTATTTATCTACCATCTCCGGTATTTTCTCATGGACAATTATATGTTGCAATGTCTAGAGTATCAGAAGCCAATGATCTCAAAATACGAATAGAAACTTTAACGCAATCTCGGCTACGTAACATAACTAGAAACATTGTCTACAAAGAAATTTTGACTAATTGATTCAATAAACATTTCTTTGAATTTTCTTTCATTTATATAGTACATTTTCATTACGAATTGCTCATTAAAAACTGCTTGAAATTAAACGTCTAATACGACATTTTATCAACAGGATTCTGAAAGATTACTGTTTTACATCCAAAAGTGGCAACAATTAGCTGCTGATGCAGATTTTCTGTACAGCATTGGATCAAGACCGGGTGGATATATTTTATTTGTTCATGAATTCAAAAAACCTATATTTTCTATGGAGGTGATTTCTAACGGTGTGGTCACTTATGAAAAAGGCGAATGTTATTGGAATATTGGCTTAGTAGGTTCATATTTACAAGGATGCTATGACACTAGAAATGCTAATGAAGCACTTATTGACAAAGAAATCAAAACCACTTTATTTGAAATTGTTTTTGAATATCTAGAAAGACAATACTAACGATAATACATTGAGATTTCTGGTAAAAGAATAAAAAAATTTTGCGTTAATCATCAATTTTACCAATTTGATTGTTGATTCATGTCACAAAAGATTGCAGTCAGAAAAACATATAAATATATTCCAAAATTCTCCTTCCCATTATCATAAACTTTATCAATTAATTTGTTGAAAATTAATTTTTCTCTCAAATCGTTAGCATAATTAAGCCAATATATATTAACATTTAAAACAATAATCCGACGTTATTTAACTTCTCAATCTACCCAATTACTTTTGATTCCACAAAAGTTGATAGTTTAACTTCAATCAACATAGAACATGAATTTACCTCATTCCCGCCTAAATACATAAAAATCAGATAACTTGATAACTATTGATCTGTCACTCATGTTATGTATATCAGCAGATTCAGAGTAATTTAATTAGTCAGAAAACATATAAATACATTCCAAATTCTCCTTCCCATTATCATAAACTTTATCAATTAATTTGTTGAAAATTAATTTTTTTCTCTCAAATCGTTAGCATAATTAAGCCAATATATATTAACATTTTAAAACAATAATCCGACGTTATTTAACCTTCTCAATCTACCCAATTACTTTTGATTCCACAAAAGTTGATAGTTTAACTTCAATCAACATAGAACATGAATTTACCTCATTCCCGCCTAAATACATAAAAATCAGTGATAACTTGATAACTATTGATCTGTCACTCATGTTATGTATATCGGCAGATTCAGAGTAATTTAATTAGTCAGAAAAACATATAAATACATTCCAAAATTCTCCTTCCCATTATCATAAACTTTATCAATTAATTTGTTGAAAATTAATTTTTTTCTCTCAAATCGTTAGCATAATTAAGCCAATATATATTAACATTTAAAACAATAATCCGACGTTATTTAACCTTCTCAATCTACCCAATTACTTTTGATTCCACAAAGTTGATAGTTTAACTTCAATCAACATAGAACATGAATTTACCTCATTCCCGCCTAAATACATAAAATCAGTGATAACTTGATAACTATTGATCTGTCACTCATGTTATGTATATCGGCAGATCAAATAATTTAATTAGTCAGAAAAACATATAAATACATTCCAAAATTCTCCTTCCATTATCATAAACTTTATCAATTAATTTGTTGAAAATTAATTTTTCTCTCAAATCGTTAGCATAATTAAGCCAATATATATTAACATTTAAAACAATAATCGACGTTATTTAACCTTCTCAATCTACCCAATTACTTTTGATTCCACAAAATTTGATAGTTTAACTTCAATCAACATAGAACATGAATTTACCTCATTCCGCCTAAATACATAAAAATCAGTGATAACTTGATAACTATTGATCTGTCACTCATGTTATGTATATCGGCAGATTCAGAGTAATTTAATTAGTCAGAAAAACATATAAATACATTCCAAAATTCTCCTTCCCATTATCATAAACTTTATCAATTAATTTGTTGAAAATTAATTTTTTTCTCTCAAATCGTTAGCATAATTAAGCCAATATATAACATTTTAAAACAATAATCCGACGTTATTTAACCTCAATCTACCCAATTACTTTTGATTCCACAAAAGTTGATAGTTTAACTTCAATCAACATAGAACATGAATTTACCTCATTCCCGCCTAAATACATAAAAATCAGTGATAACTTGATAACTATTGATCTGTCACTCATGTTATGTATATCGGCAGATTCAAGTAATTTAATTAGTCAGAAAACATATAAATACATTCAAAATTCTCCTTCCCATTATCATAAACTTTATCAATTAATTTGTTGAAAATTAATTTTTTTCTCAAAATCGTTAGCATAATTAAGCCAATATATATTAACATTTTAAAACAATAATCCGACGTTATTTAACCTTCTCAATCTACCCAATTACTTTTGATTCCACAAAAGTTGATAGTTTAACTTCAATCAACATAGAACATGAATTTACATTCCCGCCTAAATACATAAAAATCAGTGATAACTTGATAACTATTGATCTGTCACTCATGTTATGTATATCGGCAGATTCAGAGTAATTTAATTAGTCAGAAAACATATAAATACATTCCAAAATTCTCCTTCCCATTATCATAAACTTTATCAATTAATTTGTTGAAAATTAATTTTTTCTCTCAAATCGTTAGCATAATTAAGCCAATATATATTAACATTTTAAACAATAATCCGACGTTATTTAACCTTCTCAATCTACCCAATACTTTTGATTCCACAAAAGTTGATAGTTTAACTTCAATCAACATAGAACATGAATTTACCTCATTCCGCCTAAATACATAAAATCAGTGATAACTTGATAACTATTGATCTGTCACTCATGTTATGTATATCGGCAGATTCAAATAATTTAATTAGTCAGAAAAACATATAAATACATTCCAAAATTCTCCTTCCCATTATCATAAACTTTATCAATTAATTTGTTGAAAATTAATTTTTTCTCTCAAATCGTTAGCATAATTAAGCCAATATATTAACATTTTAAAACAATAATCCGACGTTATTTAACCTTCTCAATCTACCCAATTACTTTTGATTCCACAAAAGTTGATAGTTTAACTTCAATCAACATAGAACATGAATTTACCTCATTCCCTAAATACATAAAATCAGTGATAACTTGATAACTATTGATCTGTCACTCATGTTATGTATATCAGCAGATTCAGAAATTTAATTAGTCAAAAACATATAAATACATTCCAAAATTCTCCTTCCCATTATCATAAACTTTATCAATTAATTTGTTGAAAATTAATTTTTTCTCTCAAATCGTTAGCATAATTAAAATATATATTAACATTTTAAAACAATAATCCGACGTTATTTAACCTTCTCAATCTACCCAATTACTTTTGATTCCACAAAGTTGATAGTTTAACTTCAATCAACATAGAACATGAATTTACCTCATTCCCGCTAAATACATAAAAATCAGTGATAACTTGATAACTATTGATCTGTCACTCATGTTATGTATATCGGCAGATTCAGAAATAATTTAATTAGTCAGAAAACATATAAATACATTCCAAAATTCTCCTTCCCATTATCATAAACTTTATCAATTAATTTGTTGAAAATTAATTTTTTCTCTCAAATCGTTAGCATAATTAAGCCAATATATATTAACATTTTAAAACAATAATCCGACGTTATTTAACCTTCTCAATCTACCCAATTACTTTTGATTCCACAAAGTTGATAGTTTAACTTCAATCAACATAGAACATGAATTTACCTCATTCCCGCCTAAATACATAAAAATCAGTGATAACTTGATAACTATTGATCTGTCACTCATGTTATGTATATCAGCAGATTCAAATAATTTAATTAGTCAGAAAAACATATAAATACATTCCAAAATTCTCCTTCCATTATCATAAACTTTATCAATTAATTTGTTGAAAATTAATTTTTCTCTCAAATCGTTAGCATAATTAAGCCAATATATATTAACATTTTAAAACAATAATCCGTTATTTAACCTTCTCAATCTACCCAATTACTTTTGATTCCACAAAAGTTGATAGTTTAACTTCAATCAACAGAACATGATTTACCTCATTCCCGCCTAAATACATAAAAATCAGTGATAACTTGATAACTATTGATCTGTCACTCATGTTATGTATATCAGCAGATTCAAAGTAATTTAATTAGTCAGAAAACATATAAATACATTCCAAAATTCTCCTTCCATTATCATAAACTTTATCAATTAATTTGTTGAAAATTAATTTTTTCTCTCAAATCGTTAGCATAATTAAGCCAATATATTAACATTTTAAAACAATAATCCGACGTTATTTAACCTTCTCAATCTACCCAATTACTTTTGATTCCACAAAGTTGATAGTTTAACTTCAATCAACATAGAACATGAATTTACCTCATTCCGCCTAAATACATAAAATCAGTGATAACTTGATAACTATTGATCTGTCACTCATGTTATGTATATCGGCAGATTCAAGTAATTTAATTAGTCAGAAAAACATATAAATACATTCCAAAATTCTCCTTCCCATTATCATAAACTTTATCAATTAATTTGTTGAAAATTAATTTTTCTCTCAAATCGTTAGCATAATTAAGCCAATATATATTAACATTTTAAAACAATAATCGACGTTATTTAACTCAATCTACCCAATTACTTTTGATTCCACAAAAGTTGATAGTTTAACTTCAATCAACATAGAACATGAATTTACCTCATTCCGCCTAAATACATAAAATCAGTGATAACTTGATAACTATTGATCTGTCACTCATGTTATGTATATCAGCAGATTCAAGTAATTTAATTAGTCAGAAAACATATAAATACATTCCAAATTCTCCTTCCCATTATCATAAACTTTATCAATTAATTTGTTGAAAATTAATTTTTCTCTCAAATCGTTAGCATAATTAAGCCAATATATATTAACATTTTAAAACAATAATCGACGTTATTTAACCTTCTCAATCTACCCAATTACTTTTGATTCCACAAAGTTGATAGTTT